GTTACAATTAAGAACACATAATAAACAGCCTAATACAAGTAAGCGCACGTAATAAATAGCTTAATTCATTAAAGCACACATATGACATGAAGAGCAGATACTATAGAGGACAGTAAGTTTAAAGCAAACTAAATATTATTTTTATATACATATACACATTCATGGATCTACAATCTGTCGATACCTGTATCTTGGCATTGCACAAGGTCATGTTTTTCTCTGACTGTTTATGACGTCTTTACACTAAATCCATTGGATGTTGGATGTGTACGGATTGATAATTTAGTCTTAGATGCATGATTTTTTATTAGTTGTTAGTGGCTTAGAACTAGCTGTCAGTAACTGCGAGTACTCTCAGATCTGTACTTAGTGTCTTTTTGTTGTTTGGATGTACAAGTACCTGGCCACGTCCACTAGTATTTGTAGTAATTGTATATTTATCCATCTGATGAGTTAAGCCTCTTTCAACTGATTTTTATAGTTCGTGCTTATGTTGTACTGTAACACCACTGTCCCAGGTTAGGGGGAGGGTTGGGATCCCGCTAACATGTTTAACCCCGCCACATTCTGTATGTATGTGCCTGTCCCAAGTCAGGAGCCTGTAATTCAGTGGTTGTCGTTTGTTTATGTGTTACATAAAATATTTGTTTTTCGTTCATTTTTTGTACATAAATTAGGCCGTTAGTTTTCTCGTTTGAATTGTTTTACATTGTCATTTCGGGGCCTTTTGTAGCTGACTGTGCGGTATGGGCTTTGCTCATTGTTGAAGGCCGTACGGTGACCTATAGTTGTTATTTTCTGTGTCATTTGGTCTCTTGTGGAGAGTTGTCTCATTGGCAATCATACCACATCTTCTTTTTTATATACACAATGCAGAAGGTACAACAATAAAGCACACATAATAAATAAGTACAACAATAAAGCACACATAATACATAAGTACAACAATCAAGCACATATAATACATAACATAAACATTACAACACATCATATATAATTGCAACAAACTTAATCTGACGATTTACCAAAAAAAATCATGTTTTATACTTTTATAAAATTTATATTAAATGATAGTTTGTACATGCAATAATTAGTTCTTGTTTATTTAGCAAAACAAACAATAGCTACCTTGTTTATTTAAGAACATTTTACTTCATAATATAATGTGGGACAAGGAACTTTTCATGTGGGACAATCAGAACTCTTAAGATTTAAAAAGTGGGACAATCGGGAATAAACCAACTGGTTTTGATAAACCAAAAAAAAAAAAAAAAAAGTCTTTGCCTTGTTTATTATAGGAATACCTGTTCAAGGTATGAAAATAGATGATGTGACGTATGTTCATGTACTATAATTAGCATCTATCGGGCTATTTAAAAACATGATTTACCTACCTAATTAAATTTGAAAAAAATCAGGGGAAAATGGCCCTACCTCTTTCAAATTCTTTATTAACTTTGAGCCTTACGGCTCATCAGTGTATTCAAATACTTAAAACTTAGAATGTTGAACTTCTGGAAGAAATTATTACAAAACCCAAGTAAGTTATCAGGTATATTGTATAAATTATTGTATACATTACATGGTACACATAACTTTAAATTTAAATGTCTACATTTGATAATATAGGTTTATCTTATATATGGAATGGTCAGTATTTGTTACATGATAATGATATTAATGGTTTAGTAAAGCAAAATTTATTAGATAATTTTTACTAGAACTGGTATAGTGATATGGGTAAATCTTCTAGAGGCGAATTTTATCTATGCCTCAAGAAAGAATTTGGACTACAAAGATATCTTTTAAAATTAGCTAAAGTTGATCGTTTAACTATATGTAAACTAAGATGCTCAAATGTAAAATTTCCTGTCGAAACTGGTAGATGGGTTGGTACATCCATGGAACACAGGATTTGTCATTTGTGTAACTTAAATGAAATAGGTAATGAATACCACTACTTTTTTGTATGTAACTATGTTAAAGTAACATCTCTTAGAACTCTGTATATTCCAACATATTATACACGTTATCCATCTGTATATAAAATGTATGGACTATTCTCATTATGTAATATAAAGGTCTTAAAGAATATAGCTATATTTTCGAGGAATGTAGAAAAAATGTTGTAAGCAGCTGTACTGCTCATAACTAATTTAATGATACGCAGTTGTATATTTTAGCTGCCATTTCCATTTGATTATATGTACTGAATTCCTCTTGTAACACTATATGTGTCTGAGAGTTTACAATAAAGAATTTGAACTTGAACTTGAACTTGAACAAATACAGTGCATACATATGGCATATTAAAAACAATATTAACAATATGTATAAATAACAATAGGTGACGTCAGAAGTTTCATGATTACAAAATATCTTTACAATAAACTGTTTCTTCATTTAAAAGAAAAAGGTATATATTTTCCTAAGTTACAAAGCTGTTTTTTTGTTTTCACCAGACAATAATTCTATTAACTTAAAAGTTGATGGCATAGAACAGTAATATGTTTTGATATATTTTTACGCAAATCAGTATAATTGCTACATTGTAGGATGAAATGAAATTCATCCTCTATCACTCTTAAATCACAAAAAATATAATTTCTTTCATTTCTAATAGTACCAACATAACATCCAGTTTCAATACAAAGGTTATGTGAAGACAAACGGATCCTTGATATACATTTGCGAAAAAGTACAGGAATGCATTTCTGTAAACGAAATAGCAAAACTACCTTTGTTACCACATACTTATATAATCTATACGTTGCAGAAGAGTCTAATTAAAAATGCAATTATAAGGTAGTTATACACCTAAATAACAAAATTGTTCCACAATATCCATTGTTTGACCGTTATAGACCCATGTCTCATTATGTCGTACAATTCCACCCTTCCGAAATACAACATTTTTTGTTTTCTTTGTATTAACAGACAAGCCCCATTTTTAAGTGTAAATGGACAAAGTATTCAACATTTCCTGTAAACCCGCTACTGTCTCAGTCATCAAAATCATATCATCAGCATACATCAACAAAAATAATGTTATATCTTGAAACTCTATGGCACAATTGCTATTAACAATAAATTCATTTTCAAAATCATTCAAATAGAAAGAAAATAAAATAGGAGAAAGAACTTCCCCTTGCATTAAACCAAGGTTGTTACAAAAGTAATCAGAGTTTAGCCCATTGAATCTAATACAGGTTCTAACATTACTATACATAGATTTTAAAACAATTAATAGTTTTCCCCTGATACCTAATTTGGCAATTCTGTACCATAAACATAAACGATCAATTGAATCAAAAGCTTTCAAGTAAAGGAGGAGGGTTGTTTATGTTTAAATAGTCTACTTAAAAGATACATGAAATATCAGAAATAATCATATAATTGCTAAAAAAATATTACGCCGATTAGTATATTGAACACTACTGTATTGAAATTTAATGGAATAAACAAAAATTAAGTCAATGCATTTTTGGGCGTAAAGTGGTTTCATATTTGAAAAATTGGATGTTTTGAAATTTAAAAATATTTTTTGGAAATTTGTACTATTTGATTCACTAATAAATTGTCTAATTGATCATAATACATTTCTTGATATGTTTCTTTATTTTGTACGAACATTTAGTTAAATATCTAAAAGTTGCAGTCATTTTTTGTTTCATAAGAGGGAGGCTGCCGATCAAGATTTTGGCATTTTCCATTTAATTCATTGCAAGTTTATTTGTTATAAAATGGACTTTGGAAATTACGCAGAGATTATTTACGGGTTCCCATGATTTTTGGAGAGTTTAGAGTTCAAAGTTGAAAATTTGACTTCTACATATGTATACAAGGCAGGCTGCCGGTCAAGATTTTGCCCTTTCTGCTTAAAGTTTTACTAATTATTATTTTTCCATATTATTTGTCAATATATTTAAAACTGTCTTTAGATATCCTATTAAAGATTTTGACCGGGTTATGTATTTCCTTCGTGAATTTATGTTCAAATTCTAAATGTTGTCTTCTTCATTTTTTACACAAGAGAGGCTTCCGGTCAAGTTTTTGCCGTTTTAACTTAATGTGTTTCTAATTTATTCTATACCATATTATTTTGAACAGATATATCATGTTAAAGAGGGGTATTTGCGAAAAATAACCGTCGAGAGAATGTCAAATTTCGCGAGCCGTAAGGCGAGGGAAATTCATTCTCAAGACTGGTATTTTTCGCAAATACCCCTCAAGAACATGCTATATCTGTTTAATTACACCGAATGTTAACGTTCAAAAACGCATTGAACAGATGCCGTGCGGGTATTTGCCAAAAAATACTCTATCCGACTGGACGCCTTGTAATGTCACGATCAGTGACATTACAAGGCGTCCAGTCGGATAGAGTATTTTTTGGCAAATACCACGGCAGAGAGGGTAAAAAAGGCATATCCTTTTTGCATATACCACGGCGGCGTTAAAAAATTAACGATATTCATTTGATAACAGTAAATTGGTGAAAAATACACTGGCTATCAACCAATCAAAACCCAGGATTCTTACATAAGGTGTAATTATTTATTAAATTGTCTTTAGAAATCGTGTTCACGATTTTGGACGGGCTTTATATAAGGGAGGTATCCGGTCAATATTTTGCCTTAATTACCTAATGTGTTGCTGATTATTTTTATACCATATTATTTGTTATTAAATTGTCTTTAGAAATCATTTTTAAAATTTTGACCGGGTTATATGCTTTTTCGTAAATTTAAGTTTAAAGATTCGAAATTGGATTGACAGAGTCACGCTTAACAAGGCTTCCGGTCAAATTTTTGGTAATAATGAATATCAAAATCACTATTTTTTTTATTTCAAATTATAGACTATCATACAAGCTTTCAAAATCCGTTTCAATTATTAATCTACCTTTAGCCGTTCAAGAGAAATCACTTATAATATATCAATTTTACTCTTCCGTGTTTTCCCACTTCCGTGTTTTATACCTTTCCCGTTCGGAATACCTTTTGAAATATCTTATCGTATAGTTGATTATCAACAATATTATACAAGTGTAGAATCTGCACAAACAAATAAACAAAAATGACAGCAAATTCAGTATTTCTTGTTATGGTTGGTGGACAGATTGAGTCAGGAGAGGTAAAATTTAGGAATAAAAACACAATAACTTTTAAAACTCTTCATTTAAAACCAGAAAAAAATAAGTTCTTTTCTTAGAACAAGCCCGATCATGTTAAAAAAAAGTCATCATATCTTCTTTGAATATACAATGTACAATAAACCATCAAGCAGGATGATGTTTATTTACTGTTGGGCAAGATTTCCATATGGCACCCCCACCATACTAAAGGAACAAAATAACATATAACAGTTTATTGCGTAGGGCCAGGGGTGCCATATAGAACTCTTTCCAACTTAATATATGTACCACAGAAGCAATTCGAAATGAAGTGTTGTACAAGCTTAAATATGGTATATCTGTGTTCTACGAAATTGTCAAATGAATAGTTGAAAGATAAATGTGTTTTCAAGTTTGAACTTGTCACATGTTTCTTTGAACAGGTACCACCCTGTCCTATTCTGACGATTTGAAGAGAGAAAAAGCTAATTAAGGATCATAAGCAGCCCTAAATAGTAGCTACATTATCAGGAATCAGTATCACAAAACTTTACTTGTCAGCAAAATGTATAATATAATGAAAATAAGAAGAAATTGACCTTACCTGACCACATTTGATTTTTACACTGATTGGGGGTACCTACATGTATATCCAGTGGTGATCCTACACAGTGATATTTTAGAGATGATTTTTGAAGGCGAATTCAGGCATTTATTATTTTGGCCATGGCAAGTTCAACAATGAGAAGATGAAATTTTATTGCTATATAATTTATTATTTCAGTCTCCATGAAAAAAAAGAGCAAGGAAATGACATCAATCAAATTTAGATTATTTTTAAATTTTGATATAAAATGATGATATATGTGCTAAGTTGGTACACCATTTTACAATCTTGATGTATATTTGGACTCATCAGTTTTTTCATCTTCCATGGGATCAAACTCATAAAAAATTCGGAATTCAGAAAAGTTGCTAACCAAAAGTTGTTGCCTTTTATGCGATCATTTGCCTTAAATTAAGATTGCACATAGCAATATCAATATATTGTAACGAAATCCGAGCGGTCGGGCCTTAGTGTTAAACTATAAAAGTATATCCCTTAGTGCGTTGCTATAAAAATGTGTTTTGTTAGAATGTACGAGTATATAAGAAATAAAAGTTATAACTGGTGACCCTTCTTTGGTAGCGTGGTACTATGTGGTACTCTGGTATTCTGAATACATGCTGGTAAGGCTGGTTTCTCTGGTAAGGTAATGACTCGTATATAAAAGGGTCGATTGGAGTATAGGTTTTTGTATGGTAACTCTCGATGTTTGTAAGAATAACAGACTCGTTGAATAAAAATCAACTTGTATTAACTTTAAGATGCATTAAATATCAACAATACATATAAATATTAAATAACTTAACAGTATTCAGGTCTAACAGATAAATACTTTATTAACCTTCTATCGTGAATTAAAGAAAATGGATAGCGGAAAAATATACCCTGAAAGTTTACTAATTGACAGTAGTTTGGTAATCGGCAAATGGTAAATCAAATTCAATGCCAAAAGATAAAGTTTCTCTCGAGAAGTTATTCTCTAAATGTAACTTGTAAAGGAATTAACAAACCCACATTATATGGACGTCGTCTCCTCGGACATTGTAATAATGTTGGCTGTCTGGTTACTACTTGGTATGGTACATGGTATCTGTACGCATATCAAAATAGTTTGGAATTAGCGAGTGTTACTTGCCCAGGGTAAAATCGTGCTAAAGACTTATCTGTATTCTCCGCCGTATTTATACTTAGGTAAACCAATTTACCGATTTGGTTTACCATTTACCATTTCGGAAAATACCTAAATTACCAAAACCGGAACTGGTGATTACCAAAATAGGTAATGACGTCATTGTACGTCATTTTAAGTACACAATGCACAGGTGTTCCTATGTAAAAACATAGGCAAGAATAATGAAAAGTTTTAGAGTTATCAATGTTTAAACATAGTTATACAAGAAATATATAATAAGAAAAGTCAATTATCGGTAAGATTAAACAACGTCATCACACAATTTTAGGGGAAACAAGTTCCATTTCAGGGGACCCACATTTCGTTACAATATTACCTTGAATAAAGAAAAAAATTTGCACAGTAAAATTATATCCCATTTGTGGTATTATATGTATCTTAAATGGGACATTATAACCCATATGGGTGATTAATCCCCAATCTGTCAAAGGCATAATACATGTACATCATTATTATCCTTGACAATACATACAATTTTAAAGAACAACATCACCATCAGAGGCAGATTTAGAGGGCCCTCCTACCAGGGTATTTTACAGTGCTTCATTTATGATAATTGCCACACTGAATCAAAAGCTTTTCAAAAGTAAATGAAGCATGCATAAATTTGTCTCTTCACTAAGATGTATACTTGTATTTATTTATTAAAGTTTTGAGTTAAAAAAAACCAACTCAATTGTCCTTATTTTAGGTTGAAATCCAAATTGAACTGTAATAAATTTGTTTTCCATGTCAAGAGTCATGACTCTTACATTTAATACTGCACTAACAATTTGTTTTACACCATTTAACCCTCTTGCTGCTGCAAATTTAATATGGTTTCATTTCTTGTGCCAGAAAATAATGCCTCCGTACGTCTTTGAAGTCAAATGCCCATCTATGACGTCATTCAATATTTGACATCATGCCCTTATGACGTTACATTGAAGACCCATTGAAGTAAAATATAACTTTGTATAATCTTCAATAAATTATTTGAAAGAGATACTGTAATGAACAGGTGCTTGCATAAAATTAAAAATATGGACATTCACAAAATGTATGTGTCCCTCCCGCACAGCCGTTGTGTACACATGTACCTCTGGCAGCAAGAGGTTTAATAAGAGTGAAATGCCTCTATTGTTATTTGGGTCAGTGGATCACCACTCGTGAATAAAGAGACTTTATATGAGTTTAGCCAAGTATCAGGATATAATCCTGGAGGGAATATTCTTGGATTGATTTCCTACAAACTTTACACTATTGTTGGGATTGATGAAAGGAAGCTTCCCTGTGATCATTTTAATTACCTGGTTTATCATTCCAGAGCTACGTAATTTTAACTGTTACATTAAAGGCAATTACCTTGGGTGACCACTTCAATCTTTTAATGGTAGGGGTGAGCAGCTGAGACATCCAGTACCCCACCCTTTTTTATATATTTTGAATAGCAAAAAAACACACCTTATGATATTTTTTTTACGACCGCAAAAAATTTTTCGTCATCATCATCCGAAGACACTTGGTTTCCGGACAATAACTTTAGTATTAGTAAATAGAAATCTTTGAAATTTAAACACAAGGTTTATAACCACAAAAGGAAGGTTGGGATTGATTTTGGGGGTTATGGTCCTAACAGTTTAGGAATTAGGGGCCAAAAAAGGGGCCCAAATAAGCATTTTTCTAGTTTTCAGACAATAACTTGTGGAACTGTGTATGGATCTCTCTGAAATTGTACAATAAGTTTCCATACCACAAAGGGATAGTTAGGATTAGCTTTGGAGGGGGGGGGGGGGGGGGGGGGGTAATGGCTCAAACCGTTTAGGAATTAGGGGCAAAAAAGGGGGAAAAAACAAGGGTTTCCTGATTAATGGACAATCACTTTTATGTACAATGTTAAATTTGGATTACCTCCCTTACACTGCTTAAAAATTATGTATGAAGAAATTTTGTATTGTCTTGAGGTGATTAGCTGTCAATTTATTTTTTAGAAGTTACTAATAAAAATGCTGATTAAAGATATATTATTTTTAGACATGATAATGTATGTCATTTTCTATTTTAAGACTTTTATGATGTATTTAAATGGGTAATTATGGTTGCAAACTCCATTGGAAATTTGAATTGAGATCATGACCATATCTTGAGGGAAATATTTTTTTTGGAAAAAGGGGAGGGGGAGGGGAGGTGAAAAAAAAATTGTGGGGGGGGGGGGTAGAAAAGAAATCGTGGGGGGGACAATTTTTTTTTTTATCATTACATATTTCAGAAAATAAAAAGAAAATTTCACCAAATATTTTTTTTTTTTGCAAAAAAAAGGGGTGGGTTGAAAAAAAAGGGAGTGAAATTTATTTTTTTGGGGGGGGGGGGGGGTCAATTTGCAACAGCAAAGTGTATTGCACAAAAGCAAAAAAAATGGGGGGGGGGGGGGGGCAATTCGCAACAGCATAGTGAATTGCACAAAAGCAAAAAATTGAATATAAATTCAAATCATATAACCAATTCTAAGTTCTTTGACTACACTTATTCTGTGTCAGAAACCTATTATGTGTCAAACATTTAATTTCAATCCAAATTCAGACCTGTATCAAACACGAATATTGTGACCATTTTTGCCCCAACTGTTCGCGCTCGGCGAAGCAATTTATTTTACAATAGATTAGGGATGTCAACCATTGAGTATCTCTAGGTAGTACCAAGTATCAAATACCAAAATGATACTCAAATAATCTGTTTCCTGTTGGAATGTTGTTGCCTTCTTGAAATAAAATAGAACAAATTGGTTGCACCCTGTGGTGACCCTCAGCGAATGGTTAAACATATCAGTTAGTTCCAATCATCACGCCTTTATTATACCCCACGCAACGAGTTGCGGAGGGTATAATGTTTTTGACCCGTCCGTCCGTCCGTCTGTCTGTCCGTCCGTCAGTCCTGTTTCTTGTCATCGCAACTCCTCTCAAACCACACAACAGAATTTAACGAAACCTTTTTAGATAATAAGGACATACTATGTAGTTGTGCATATCGACAGGAAATTACGATTCAATTTTTTTTCTAGGAGTTACGCCCCTTTGAACTTATTTACTTTAATGTACTACTGCAACAGTTTGTCATCTCAACTCCTCTGAAACCACACAACAAAATTTCATAAAACTTTGTAGATAATAAGGACATACTATGTAGGTGTGCATATCGACAGGAAATTACGATTCAATTTTTTTCCCAGGAGTTACGCCCCTTTG